TACTTAGTACGCAATTGTGGTTTCACTGGTTACGTTAGGCAAAGACAGCGAAACCCTCGAAGTAATGTCTCATACTGCTCGGCAGCATCATGCCAAATAGTATTCCGATTACTTGCGCTGGAATCAAGTCAGCCATATGTGTGCTGGATCAGGGAGCTGACAACTCTTCGCTACTGTGTCTGCATGAGCCAAAATATATATTCATGATATGGTCGTTGGCTTGTTCGCTGAGCTGGGCAATTTGGTTGCAAACTTTTCATCACCAATCGAGATGACATCATCAGTGCGTAGTTGTGCGTAGCGGTGGGTTAGTGGTTGTGCGTTCAGTAGTGTTGCGTGTGTGTTGCTATTTATGATATATTCATGATATATATATATATATATATATATATATTCATGATATACTCATGACATGTATGAATTTTTTGGCTCTATATATATGTTTTAGAAGGCTTTAGAAGGATTACGCTGGTTGTCAACACTGAAAATAGCCAACAATGGATTTATGGTACGTTGTTAACTCACTGTCGTTGAATTTAACTTCAGAATTGTGTGTTTAGAAAATCGGATCAAAACCTTTGTAGACAGGAAGAAATTAGTGAAAGCTTCAATTAACTTGAGAAACAGTCAGAGCTTTCTTATTCGTTTTTCGAACAAGCCCTTTTCTGAATGTGGAAAGAGACTCAACATTTCCGATCTTCAGGACCTCAGAAATTTTGCCCACTACTCGTAGACCAGCATCCATCGATCAGATCCACCCACAGTATTAACTAGTATTCTCTGCTGTGCACAGTCCCTGCCCAAAAGGGGTGGCGCCTCTTCGTAAAGATCCCTATGTGTTGGCATATTTAATTCTGCTAAAAAGGTGTTAGTGACAGCGTTGCGTATAGTGAGCACAAGGATGCAGTGAAAAGTTTAAGAATCAGTGATTTAGAATACTTAGTACGCAATGGTGGTTTCACTGGTTACTTTAGGCAATGACAGCGAAACACTCGAAGTAATGTCTCATACTGCTCGGCAGCATCATGCAAATAGTATTCCGATTACTTGCGCTGGAATCAAGTCAGTCATATGTGTGCTGGACCAGGGAGCTGACAACTCTTCGCCACTGTGTCTGCATGGGCCAAAATATATATTCATGATATGTATGAATTTTTTGGCCCCACATCTATGTTGGAATTACGCTGTCTTTTCTGAGAGCGGCGGTCGTGCTTCTGGCGCCACTGTTCACCGAAAAGTTCAAAATAGCACAGAAAAAGTAGTCCAAGGAATTGCCGTCCGAAGGACTAGTTAAGATGCGAACTTCCTCCACTCATCAGGGTGTTCTAGGCCCGGGTCTTTGGACTGATTTACCGCTGGCTCGTTAACCGTGTAAAACATCTGGGTCTGAATATGGCACAGTCGTAATGGCTAAGGTGGATGCAAAGTTCTAGGCTGGATTCTAAATGTCATGTGTACCAAAATGGTTCTTCATGTCCAGCATGAAGAGGTTTCCCATTGTCTTACCTAGGTTTAAGCTCGGTTTATTCCCTACATGCTAACATTGTCGCTGTGGGTTATATTATCAGAGGCTAAAAACACGNGCTGGTGCAATACCAGAGGTACCCAGTTTCATTACTGAGTACACAAGTAGATGGATAAAAGGAGGGAAGCTGAGTGTTTCCTTAATTTCTTATCAAGTAGTCATGAACAAAAATCATTTCTTTCAAGGCAATCTCTAACCCATCTCAGGTCTAAAGGACTAGAACGCACGTTTCGCGAATTTCCACTGAACTTATTTGCCGGTTGAACGTATGTGTAGACTAGCATTCAGTTGCAACTGTAGCTGATGATAACAGGAAGCTCAATGGAATCTCAGCCGTAGCTCCCGCTCCCAATAGTTTTTAACCGTATATACTGCACAGATGGCAGCTCGTGTCTCACTTGGAACTATTTTCAAAATGTCGAAGTAATTTGTTTCGTATAACACTATGGTTTACGAAACTTCTGAGGAGTCTCGCCCTTTCTAGGACTCACCAATCTCCTTCGGTCTCCTTTCGTGACCGAACGCTAAACTGAACGTATGTTCACATAACACTCACAAATTATGGTAGCAATGACCTTGAAAGTATTGCCATGTCAGCAAGATCACTTCGACATGTGAAATATTGATCCAACTGAGAACTAAACCGGTTTTTGTGTAGTACATTCATTTAGATGACAATGAAATCGAAAGACCTCCCCTAAACACCTTCCAACTTGCAAATGAATGTCTATTCACATATAGATCAAGGAGTAAGAATGGTGGAAATTCTGATACTGTGTATGGTCGACAAGCCCAGAAAAGGCGAAACTGTTACTGGTCTGTTCAAAGAGCTCGAACAGTGATACGTCAAAGTAAATTGACTGTCGTTCCAAATGAATTTTGAGTCAACCTTTGTGTAGCAAATTTAGTTGACGAATACTGTAAACAAGAGATTCAACTACGATTTATTTGATTCTCTCTTCAACATCACGATAATTTGCCAATGAATTTTCATCTGTACGGAAATCCGCACATTTTTACGTGACCTTTTAGCTAATTTCATTCTATTGTGGGGATTACTGAAAGTTTAATTCGTTAGGTGTTCCGCCTCGGTGTTACTGGATTGAAATTACGGAAGTTCTAGTTTGGTTTTTCGAGAGACTCACCTGGAACCCAGCTGACTCAAAACCGAGAATTTCAGCTGCGTTCCAGGTGAGTCTCTCGAAAAACCAAATTAGTTTGCAAATGATTTCATGCAATTTGGTTTCAAGTAGATCATAAGGTTGGCGGAAACCCGGGGACTGCGCCTACCTGATGAGCTCCGAGAAGGGCGAAACCGGTCGTGGGATGTCGAGGAGTTTTCAGCAACCTTATGAGTAGTGCATTACAAAAATATATACAGAAGTTCTTTTTAAAAAAAATGATGTTTCTATGTTGTCATTGGACTTGCATCAGATATGTGCACACAAAGACCACCCGTTTCTTGCAGCAAAGCTCTTGCTGACTCATTTTCTCGGTCAGAACTTGTTTGGGTTTACACAGGTGTGGCCTAAATACAGAACCCAGACAGTCAGATATCCTGCTGACAAAGCCGGGTTCACGGCCAAGTGAAATGTCTGAATCTGTCCTCGACTGACGAAATCTCATACGAAACTTACATATCGCCGGAAAATACATTCCCCATATCTGGTTATAGTTGAGTTTCCTCTGAAAGCATAAGCTTGTAGTACTGGCGTTTGTTTCGGTATCTGTTCGGAGTGAACCAAATCACGAGTTCAGTACCAACTTACCTCGTTCCTCATCTGCATGCAGTGGAGGCTATTCTGGCCACTGACCACATAAACCCAACAGGAGTGCAATGAGAAAGCTGTGTTGGACAAGAAAGAATGTACAGTAATCCTATTCATGATAGGACACAACAAGTGAAGAGTTTTTCGCCCTTTATACATTGATTTGAACTCTACGTGGAAGCTCTCATCTCATCTCATTGCTGGACGAAGCACCATTGTCACCTGTCAACAGGAGTAGTCTCTCTGTTAAAACCCATCTTGCAGGGATCAGCTGACTAGAGATATGCCAAAGATGGCGAACTAACTTTCAGTCGGTCAGCTGAGTATCGCACATTTGGTTGTCACAGTAATAGTAGTTTCAATCACGAAAATTCTATCCCCACCCTCTGGCTGCTGATTAGAAACAAGGAGAATTACGGCAGTCTCAAGTGAATTTTATGCGGCACTAACAACACAACGGTCACGTGGTGAAAATAAGTTCAGCTCTGATGTGTCCCGACGAAATGCTGGGATATGTCAGTTGGGGCATGTTAAAACAGATTCAAATGCTCCCAAAGGTGGTGAAAGTGACAGGACCATAAAAGTTTATTTCAACGGAACAGACGCGTTCAATGGATTCAAAGAATAACAGATATAGCGGTTATAAAAGGAACAAATTTCTAAATGTGTCATGCCAGATACTGAACTCCAAATGTGACCTCCAGGACGAAAGACTTAGCGGCAACATGGGTGGACGTTGTGACGAAAAAGAATCTTGACGAAACAGAACCAACCACATTAGGTTATCACATAAACGTTGGCCTCTACAATAAACCAGTTATGTATTGGGAATTGCAAGTAATCCATATAAACAATAAGACGTGAGCGAGTGAGTGAAAAAACATTAGTTAATTAAATTTAAATATTCATGTAATACATTGGTCTATGCACAAACGAGGACGTTCAGCACTAGGACAGTGCTTTCCAATTTCTGCATCTGGGAAATTACAGGAGTCTGCAAAACTGTCAAAAACAGCAAACAATCGATAGGTTTTCGACTTGATAGAAGGTTAGAAAAGAGTGCCTCAGCAGCCTTTCGGATCACGGAAAGGAGATGGCAGATTTCTCATACAGGCTGACGGAGGACGTAAAAAGAACAACCGCACTTGAAGAACTAAGAATATTCCTCGAAATTGACAAGTACGGAGCCTTAGTTTATAAACTTAACCATGCCACAGAGGTAAAGATTAAACACATAGGAGATACAACGGTGTTGCTTCTAGAGCACCAAACGTTATCTAAACTGCTCTAACTGAAACATTGACATTAAAATCACTGAAAAGAAGGCCCATTACGCTTGTTTATGGTAGACTACTCTATACCATATTATACCATGCTATACTACACTAGACCATACTATACTGTAATATACTATACTATACCATGCTATAATCATAATATGAAGCTACTCAGGTCGGGTAGTAGTTATAGCTCGACGTACTATCTTTGTGACTGATATGACGGTAGCGATATTTCACGCTGCCATTTCTCCTGGCCCTTTTTAGATGCCTTAATTGTGTCGAACTTGCCCACTTTACTATAAATGAAGATTTTCGCCTTGTCTGATTGGAAATCGGTTAGTTGTCCAGACAGCGTTTATTCGAATTTACATAGGTACAATAATAATGTCTCATTCAAGCAACCCATTTATCTTACTCTCTTACCAGACGGAATGCCTTGCTGTTCAATCACTTGTTTGCTATCGCTGGAGCAGCCATTTCTGGACCGAGTACCATAACGCGGCAACCAGCGTTGATTTTCGTTGGCAGGTTCTTCAGCGGAATAAATTCCGGCATCACAATCGGAACTGCATCACTCTATCTCACTGAAATAGCACCGCGTGATGTCAGAGGTGCCATTGGAGCATGTCATCAGCTGGCGGTCACCTTAGGAATTGTGGTGGCATACCTTGCGACCATGGGAATGACTCTGAACACCGAGAAACTATGGCCGATTGCAGTAAGCCTCAGCGCCGTTCCAGCCATCGTGTCTTTGATTGTGCTCCCAATTTGTCCAGAAAGTCCACGACTACTTTTTATCGAAAAAGGACGTGAACTGGAGGCTCGTGAATCATTTGTTCGCTTTAACAACAAGGAGAGTGTGGATGATTTCATCGATGAATTACGAGAGGAGATTCAAGCGGCGAAAAGTAAACCAAAATTCACCTTCATTCAGTTATTCAAACGGCGGGATTTGCGAATGCCTGTTTTGATTTCTTGTCTGATCCAAGTGTTACAGCAGCTGTCCGGAATCAATGCGGTGAGTCCTTTGAGTGACAGGTTTAGTTGGTACCCGTTAGCAACGATACAGTCACTCAGTGATTCGTCAAAAAAGTGATTTACTTAGGGATATGTAATTCACACTACAACAACTAGCTCACCGAAAAACACTCCATCAGCTACTAGTAGTGGCCGTCATCATTTGCTGGTTTGACTTCTCATTAGAGTTGACCTGAAATGAACAGTTGCACTTAGATCTGTCATAATAAGCACCTCTGAGGAAAATTATAGCAGGTTACATCTGATGTTCTTGAGTGAACTTGATTAGCACCTTACCAGCCACTGATGCCATTCTATCACACTTTCGGATGATCGGATCCGATTTACTGATGGTCTGAAATGACTGTTCTAGTTAAACGTGGGACAAATTCGCGGAAACTAGGTCGGTGACTATTGGAGACGTTTATCCGGGATTTCTCTCCGATTGTATGATATACTTTTAAACAGCTTGAACTAACAGGCCAAATCTACAAAGGAAAGATGATTCTTCGGCAATTCAGCACAGGGATCGGACAGACCAGCTATTTCAGTGACAGTTTTTCTCGGGTCAGTGTCACCCCAATTTCAAACATGGTTAGATGTCTTAAGCTGAATAAACACGAAATAAACACCACCCTGTCTCTTCATCATGACACCCAAGATCAGCTAAACCGGCGGTGCTCTAGTCACCCTAAACGTATTCAGCTAGGTAGCTGTAGCTGGTGAAAAAGATCAGGCGATTGGATAGCCTTCAGAATATATTGGTATACTAGACTGGGACCTAGAATTGACTATTTCAGGTGTTGATGGCTGCGGGATTTTGTAGAATACACACACACATCACTCTAATTCGAACAATTATCCTTCTTTCCTCGTGTAATCATCTGAATGAGTCCACACCAAAAGGGGGACTCGAGTTTTACTCTTGTTAGAGATCGTCAGCAGTGCATGTCATATGTGTGGAGTTCAGACGCCGACACAGCCATTGGATATGCACTACTGATGAGCTCTAATAAGAGCGAAACTCGTGTCTCGTGCTTCCTTCCTTTGGTATGGACTCACCAGAATAAGCATATTAGGACAGAAGGAGGATCGTTCAAACGAGAGCCATGTGAGTGTGTATTCTACAGAATCCTGCAACCACCGCCACTTGAAACAAAATGTGTCCAGCAGGATCCAAGCCTCTGTGGCGCTATCTGACTGGGAAGGCTTGACTGGTGGGTCAAGCCATCGATACAACCAAGGTATGTTGCTGGGTCGTTGCTCGAGTCGTCGGACGTTCTGCTCACATCACTCAAGTGCGAACATGTTCACCCGTCCAGACGTAAAATCCGGATGCGTCCAGCGTGCGTTGGTGTGGTAGTAGTTACGCGCTTGCCTCGCATGTCAGATGTGCGGAGTTCAAACCCCGGCACGGCTATCGGATATGCACTGCTGATTTAGTCTAATAGGAGCGAAGCTCGCGTTACATATTTCTTTGCACAAAAATCAGCGGTTGGAGCATCTCAGGTTCTGTTTCCAGTGCTAGACAGCGTGTACGAAGTTAGGCGATCATCCGCGACCTTGGCCAATTTTTCTTTGCTTTCGTGAACCGCCTAAAGGGCTACTTGACGCCATTTAAAACTGGAAGACTCAGTTAATGGGATAAACTATAGATAGGTCTAATGGCTTTAACGCAGTTTACTTAGAGCCTTAGAATCGCTCTCAAGTAAATAATGTTGGTGTTTAAGAAAGTCTCTCTTTAAAATTAAAATGAATGTTGTCGGAACTTAACCAACCGATAGTGATATCTGTTTCCATTCATATATACAGCCAAAGCAAGTCCCTAATGAACCGTGTATCCGTGTTTTTATTCAGACCACAAGATGTGATGCATGCTACGCACAGTTTTTCGTTAACGCGCTCTTTAAGCCACATGGCGGCCGAGAATATTACGCAGGAAAGTTAGCTAAAAATCAATGCCAGGCACTTTCGTCAGATTTCTTTGTATTCTTTCCCACAGAAAGCCTCGCACAAAGGAATATGCCTCACTGGACGAACATTCTTCTGGTGTTACATGCTCCGTCTGTCTATATGTCTCTTTCATTTGCCAAGAAGCGACCATATTCCTCTGACTAAAAATCACATTTCGTTCTTCCCGGTGGCAGTAGTATCAATTATTTGGTAGAATAGATAATTGGTGGTTTGCTTCTACGGCTCTAGTAATCAATCTTCCAACCTGATAGTCTTGTCTGCTCTTGGTTATGGATGTGTAAGGAGTGGCAACTTACTGTCGATTTCATCAGATTTACTGCCTATGCACTTCCCACATGTACCAGCGACCTATCGAGCTGTGTTCACATAAACATGTACGGCGTATTAAAGGTTGTCCACACCGGGAGATCTAAAGTGGCCGGTGATGTGTGCCTATGCGCGCGTCTGTGTGCGTGTGTATGTTGATCACGTGAGATTGGAGGTCCAGATGCTTATTAACATCAGTGGGAATTCAGGTCATTCTGAACACGGCCTTCGGTAACGAAAATTTGACTCCCTGTAATTTCAAAGCGTAAAAATGCCTTTTTTGACGTCGTACAAAGGGACGTGAAGGTGTTCCACTCCTGGTTATAGTCCTCTACGGTATTTTGTAACGCAAAATTTTCCAGTAGTTTATAAATGCACCGTTTTTATAGGTTGCGTTTGCCTGAGTTTTGTTGCATCGGAAGGGTACTATGCGCAGTTGGTAGCCCATCTTCTGCTATCAGTTTTTCTCCACGGGTCAGCTCAGCCTGTTCAATGATGAATTCCACGCCTTCAAGGACGGGGACCGCGCGATCCCCACTGCGGCTATTTGGATATGCTGCAAGATATGACCGCTAATCGATGTTGTCAGTTTCCATCCAAATTGCCTGAGTGAGTGTCTGGAGGTTTAGGTGCCCCGCAATTATTTTAGTAAGCTAGCATTACGTCCATTCCCCGTCCACTGTTATTCGTTCACTCACAATGGGAATTCCATATAAATCATAGTTTTATGGCAGCGAAGCATCAGTGTAGAACGCTGATGTCATGCTATCAATGATGCTGATTATGATTATTGATGTGAATATGGGACGGATGCAATAAAGAGGTGGTGGAAGGCAAGGCAAACAGCATAACGAGAGTGGTAACCCCATCGAAAGATCGTGGAACCTTTATTTCCAGAATATTCGGAAGGGTTTGTCTATGCTAACTGTTTTATATCATTACCCGAGCTATATACTCCTAAACAAGGACTTGAATATAAAAAAAATCGGTAGATCTTTGTTCACGTCCAATATATAGCGACTGTTTACATCCAGGATGGGCAAAAAACCCTTGATTGTTCAATGATCTGGTTTCTGCTGCTTGACCTTGATCCACCTAATGGAGACTAAATAGACGAATGATTTTCCACTCCTCCAAAAACACAGGACTGCCGAAAGTCGATGATTCCAACCATGGTTTATCAAGGATATATCTGTTTTAAGTGGCACTCCTAGGAAACAGGAAGCTCTCGGTCATTATTCCAGGTTTTGTCTGGTATTCCTAGAAAAAGATAAATTACTCTTGTGGATTTGCGTTCAGAGGACATGAGTTGAAGGACCCTCGCCCCCAATCATGTGCGACTCTTAATTTGATACTGGTCTCCGCCCTTGCTGAGTCTTGTAAAGGCATGCAAGACAGTTTGGTTGTTCACTGGTTAAGAAAGTGCCAAAGTTTGAAACGACCCTCCGGTTTTCATAGAACACCAGATTTTCTATTGGAGAGAACCAATCTAACCATTTTCATAAATTGTTTTCTCACCGGATGAAAGAGTCCACCAGAATTATGTGTAAAGTTTTCCCACAAGGATTTCAGGAATTATAGTATTTGCGATAATTCCCATCAGCTTAACAGAAGATTTTCGCTTCTGGTGTACCTAACGGGTTGGTTAGAATACTCTAGGGATGGTGCTTGCTTAGATCTCATCACAAACAGCAGTTTGCGTAGAATTTTACGTGCTATACGGAAAGGAATACTTTTTGAGGCCCTTAACTACTTCAAAAGAAATTTGGCTTACTACTGGCTTGATACTGCCGCTTGGTGAAAACCGATTTGACAGTGCCGATCGACTGTTTGTCCAAGTTGGAGGTGAATTTTGTAGATGAAGAATGCCCGAACTTTCGAAAACGGGTGGTAGGTCATTAAAAACCTATTTTTACGTTAATGTAACCGGACCGAACGTGCATAGCCCTTTTGAAATGGTAGATCTTTGGAAACCCAGTGGTTGCTATTCCTGTTTGGTGGAGAACTCAAAACGACTGTTCCATATGAACATTTGATGTTGATCCTCAAAAAAAATAAACCATTCACTTTTCTGGTGGCGTGTGTCTATTATTAGATATGGTCTGTTTGAATACGAATAGGTACTAACGGTTACGAATGCTACCAGCTTACCCACTTGCTTGATCTCGGCCATAAATATAATATAACTGAAGCACGACAATAAAACATCAATCTGTTATACAGTGGAAACTACTGAGGGAAGAAGGCGATTGATCAACCGTTCCTGAACACCAACGTACTGAACGTTACCGATATTAATCCGTCTTCCCATATGCGCAGCTTAGTACATATTGCTGGTGCTAAACTAATGTAAGCATAGAACGCCGGATTTCACGCTCCAAACCTGTTCCTTTACGTAAATATTTTTCTGGCAGCGAGTGACAAAATATTCTACTTTGTGTGCCCGTTCCGCTGACGGGTCTTCACAACATGGTCTGCACAAATCCAACCGATTCGTTCATGCTTCTTTTCCTCTCATAGGTTATCAGCTATTCATCTACAATGTTCAAAACAGCCGGACTTTCTGGTCAATACAATGAATACTGCGTTCTAGCGATTGGTGTTTTCAACTTCTTGGTGACGTCTATATCCGTCGTTCTGCTTGAGAAAAAAGGGCGACGAACACTACTACTTTGGCCCACGTTAGTGGTCGCCGTCTCGCTTGCATTACTCACAATCACTGTCAACTTGGTCACACATCTTAAGGAGGGTGTTATTGCTCAGGCGATGGGAGTCCTATCAGCCGTTCTGCTCTTCTGCTATGTGAGTGGATTCGCGCTCGGTCTAGGGCCTGTTCCGGCACTCATCGTTGCTGAAATATTCCGCCAAGGTCCCCGGGCTGCCGCCTATTCACTTAGTCAAACTGTGCAATGGCTTTCGAATCTACTCGTTATCTGCAGTTATCCAAGCATTAACGTGAGTTTTTCGAATGAGGCGAGCTTCCTCGTCTACTGAGTTTATGAAAGCAAGTAAGTCATCAATGTTCACTCTCTGAAGCTGAATATCGCGATCACTGTATGGTTAGTTTACGGTCAATTTTGACTTTATTGATAACTTTCACTCAAATAAGTTGATTCACTTCCATACGACCGAGAAAAATGAGAGACCCCTGGGTAGGTGTGAATTGCACACAACACTACTGCGTTTGAAAAAAATCAATGAGCGAAATACACACATTTGCACACAAATTTCGTTTTGCAAGAGACTCATCTTGAACCCAGCTAAATCTCTCGTTGGTGATGTTTCCAGTGAGTCCTATTAAATATGCCGATCTTTCGGACCATTTTCGTGCTTTGGAAATGAAAGCGCACATATTTTTCTTTCCAAGGAGTCGCGAAGTGTTTCGCGGTTGCCACCGAGGCTTATTCTGTCTTCATTCATTCTCTGTCTAAGACACAACTGAGATCATACAAAAGCATTTGTGCAGACAGAACAGCTGAAAGTTTGATCTCATGGAGGAAAATCCTCCATCTCACACCAGTCAGAGAGTTCGTATAACAGTCTATTCCGATTCTTGGTGGAGTCTACCATTGGAAGAAACTACTGACTGTTTACCAAGCCCTTCTGAAGCGATGGCTTCTCAGTCGGTTCCAAGACTTTTCCAGTTGATTCGAATTTAATCTGGATTTTTCATTCGTTGCTTAGTTTAAGGACTTTTGATACTTAGAGACGTCGATCATGTAGTTCTACTCTGCGCATGACGCTAGTGTTGAACGGAAATGACAAATTTGGTATTCCTGAGCAACAAAGCGACTTCGATTTGTACGGTTCGGACGTACAATTCCGATGCATTTGAAAACCAGTGTGAGTGATAAAAATTCACCAACTTGAACATTCCATGCCAGTATTCCAAATGGAGCTGAAATTTCATGCACATATCGTTTCTTTACATGATCCAACTGAAAAGAAGAAAACCATTTTGTATAATTGCAGTGGCGCGGAAAAGTGCTAATCATTGATCGAACCTCTCCAAGGGGAAATCAGTGATACGTTCCTCAACTTTGTCAAAATATGGGTTCGTCATTCACGTGGTCAACTTCACTATGGATAGCATTATACTAACAATAGTTTCTAGTGTCTAGCTGTCATACATAAGAGTAACCCTTAGACGGAGTGGGAAAGGATAAGCGAATTGCAGATGTCAGAACTAGCAGGGAAGCGTTGATCCATCAAGTGTTTACAGAAAGCAGGACGTCAACTCTGATGTCAGAGTGGTGGCATCCGATGATATAGGAGTTTGCTCATGATGGAGGACCTCACTCTTGGATACCGAGAGGGTGCCTCAGCCTGGACAGCAGGACAATGAGGATCTCTGACCGCTGGGTTTGCTTCAGTTGTCTTACTGAAAAGCATCAGTCATTGGGCGGGAGCTGTCACACAGCCTTCATTCTTAGGCTGATGAATCTACTGATTGGATACAGCTACCTGGGTCCAACAATTGGATCATAACCTCCAAGGGGAGGGACTTAATTTTCTGAGTCAACTCGTGATCTTCTTAGGAAGTACACGATAATTTTGTGTATTCAAATCACTGGTGTTTTTATAGTCCTATTCTTTTCCTACCGACCTTATTCTGACTGGTCCACACTAAAGTACAAAGGTCCTGGACTCATGTTTTTGTCTCTTTAGAGCTCATCGACAGTGTACACCGTTAATCTTGCCGAAAATTGTACTCAGTCATCACGTCTGGACAAAACGACGCGTCCAGCTGGTTTCAGGTGCATGTAACTGGTAATGCCTGACTAGGGTTTAGTCGCTCACACAACCATGGTGTTTACTGAGTGGTCGTTCGAAACCAAACAGTCACATCACGCAGGCGTAAAAAAGCTTGCCTGTTCGGGCTTCATACTTACTTTATATCTAGCAGATGCTGCTGGCGTGGTTATGCCACTTTCGTCTTGTGCATCAGATAACCGGGATTCAAGCCAACGAAATGTGGATGAAACCAGAATCCAGTGCATCCCCTCTTAGGTACGGACTAACCGGAATTGCTGCGCTGAGACAGGATAAGGTTTGTTCAAACGAGACCGATTTGGATACCACTTCTGTGCAAGTGAAACTTTTCGGAGAACGACAAACTGTTAGATCATTACGCACTAAGTGTGGGTATTCGAAATTTGTTAACTCACTCCTGATGTCTTGTCATATTTAAACTCACCAGTCCTAGAGGTTTCCCAATAAACTGTCTTTGTGTCCATTTGCCATTGCATCCTCAACATTAGTAGCTATTTAAATGGTCGCAGCCCACTTTGGCAGCATCAAATAAGAAAATATGATGCCACATTTTAACTAACCATTCTCAGGTTGCCTTCATTAGATAGGGATTCGCGGAACCCAAAGATTAGGCGCCCTATCAGTTCATTTAGACTAAGTTTTCTACGGCTTCCGTTTTAGGGTTTAACATTACGGTCTTAAAATCGGAAAAGCTGTCTTTTCTGTTTGTTCCTTCTTTCGGAATCGTCCGCAAAGTATCAGACTCATGGAACAAGCCTTTAATTGCTAGACTCACGCTTCTGCAACGCCGCTATCTCCAGTTCAGTAGAATTCAAGACAAAGCTGTTTCACCTAACAGTAAACGTGTGACCGGAAGTAGAAAAGAACTCTCATTTGCACATGAATTCGTATTTGACTCAACTTTATCCAGCTAAATAGCTCGTTTGCGATTCTCCGCTTCAACTGAATATGATGCACCAGCCCACCTTAGGTTTCAGCTTGTACGATATTCAGCATGTCGTAATACACTACACTAATTGTAAGGTTGCTGAAGACCCTTCAACAGCCCACGATCGGATTCGCCTTTTTTGGGATCACCAGGTAGGCGCAGGCCGTGAGTCTCCCTCAACCTTACTGAGATACAAATTGAACAGAATTCGACAACTGTACCCAGTTGCACACGAAATCGATCGTTGGCTGTCGGAGAGTTTTAGGCTAATTTGTGAGTAGTGTATTAAGTTTGGACAGTGTATTGCGATACTTCAAATATCACACCAACTGAAACACTAGGCAGCCTGGTGCAGTGCATTCATAAACGAGATTCAGTTGAGTTCTCCGTGAAAACCGAATTTCTATGCAAATGAGTGTGAGCAAGAAAACTGAGCATCACGACGTACGCAAAATCAAATTCGTGTACAAAAGAGGATATTTGTCGAAATCTGCCCAACTTGGCTTCATAAGCTTGAGGGAAGTTCGGGGACTTCGCCTCCCGGATTAGCCCCAAGGGGGAGAAGCTGATCGTAGGTTGTCGAGGTGTTCTCATCAACCTTGTATGAACGGGAGACTTGACAGTTCTCTAGTGAATGCCACCTCAAGCGTTCACACCATGCAGGTTCAAACTAATCTTTGCTCAGTAAAATAAGTTTCTTTAGAATGGTTAGTAAAAGGATTTGCAAAGTTCACACGGGTGCAAGCTATACTCAACCGGAAAAAGCTGTCATTCTGAAATGGCCATCTATTCACTACTTACAGTTGGTGGCAAGACTTCCCACCCCTCCCCATTCGTGTCAGGAAGCGAAAATATCCAGCAACCTTGTATGAACGGGAGACTTGACAGTTCTCTAGTGAATGCCACCTCAAGCGTTCCCACCATGCAGGTTCAAACTAATCTTTGCTCAGTAAAATAAGTTTCTTTAGAATGGTTAGTAAAAGGATTTGCAAAGTTCACACGGGTGCAAGCTATACTCAACCGGAAAAAGCTGTCATTCTGAAATGGCCATCTATTCACTACTTACAGTTGGTGGCAAGACTTCCCACCCCTCCCCATTCGAGTCAGGAAGCGAAAATATCCAGCATCACTCTATGAGAAAAAGTTCACCAAACCAAATTTCTGAATACTTGAGGGCGGTGCTAAGCAACATCGTTGACAGGGTAGTTTATGAATTTAGGATAGAATCACATAGACTGCTGTCTTGAACACCAGGGGTTTACAAATTTGCAGAATGTGTAATCTGTGTCTCACCTTCATGTTTCCTATCCGACAACTCAGACACTTAAACAGTGGAAAGTTCCATCGAATGGGGATTTAACGGAATAGTAAACTATTTGGTTAAGGAATTAACCAGGATCGCCCGCGGGAAGGGTAGCTGATAAGTCAGCGACCCCAAAAGGTTAGCAGCCAGTGCCACAGAAACCTCCCCTTTGCTAGCCCCAGTGGCATTTTTGAGACGATTTCACGCTAATTAGCAAAGTTATGCCATATCTGTTGCCGAAAGGACGCAACACTTACCTGGAATGCGATAGCGTAAGGCTTTGGAAGTACTCACTGGAAGCTGACTGATTGCGACTTCCACCGTAATAGGTGTTCGTTAACGAAGTCGCAACAAAAGTAAGCAGGCATTCTGCATTGACTGATGATCAGATGCACGTGACTTCCTGTTTTCTAGTTTCACCCTCGTCTCTAATCGCTGTTCTACTTCGCCCGACAGATTCGTTCGTAAGAACCTAAAATCTGTAATTCCGTCCGGATTGCCGCATCGGCCAACACCTTGACTGACATCCGATTTGATCGGAACAAACATTTGGCGCAGAGAACCGACCTAAATTCTGGTTGTCAGTGACGGGTTGGAAGATATTCATTTGGACAGAATTCGATCAGTTCGTATCGGGTGTACGACTAGCACGTGACTAGTACTGACAGTCCTGACCGTTGAAAATTTATCCTATCCTCATTGGCAATTCGCTCCCATCTGGTTGGTATTATGTGAGAACCTCATGACAAATAACTCAGTTAAAATGGCCAAAATAATCCCGGTTACTTTAGTTTGCGAGAAACAAGAAGATCGACCGTAAGACCGTTGAAATAACCTCCGGATAAAAATGAAATAACAGTGGGACTAGTGATGGCATAGAGGGACTGGTCCATATGGAGGGCTCCACCCTCCTAGAAGGGCTATTAATTTAACTGAGTTCTAAACATGCGGACGTGTTTATGACCAAAAGTTGCCCAGCAGGTGTCAGATGTCCGTGGTGCAACCTAATTCGGAAGGCCGTCGGGTCAGTTAATGGACACAACCAGGACAGCTACTGGATCGCCGTACTAGGTATCAGGCAAACCACTGACATCGCCCAAGCGTGAACATGTTCACCCCCTACATAGTAGCGACACGCGTGGAACACGAAGTGCAAACAGGAATGAACGTGAACTGGTGAAAACGAGGAGAACAAGTTTTAGGACAAATGTTTCCGGTGGCCTCGGACGCCATGCTTTGGGATTAATATGCCAATGAATATCAGACCAACTGAAATATGAGGCGGCCATTGTGGAGCACATTCAGCTGAAGAACACCATAGACGAGAGATTCAGCAGACTCCCATAGAAATCTGGTTGATATGGGAATGAGCGTATTTGTCGTAAACTAATGATGCTTATCATAACTGACGTATGATAACTAATAACCCTGCCATCACCTAAGAACAAGCGGACAATCACTCGCCATATTCCAGTAAAACGACTATAACGACCCTTGGAGGTAAGGTAGATAAATGAGTACAGAAACTTACCAAGGCTAGCTGGTTTCAACTCCCCATCTGGTTGCACCTGAATGACGATGTCCGGACAGACGAACGTGGTCAGACTTGAGCGATTAGATTGGTTTGTCCGAGCGCTCGAACGACGACCGATCGGCTGCCCCACCTTATTCAAACTTGTGGACTGCTGGTCAGCTAGAATAGCTCTTTTGGTTGTAATGAGAGTAAAACATGAGTCCAATGCCCGCTTCTCTTTGGAATAGATTAACCAGAAAAATTGCGTCTGCACTCAGGGAGAACTGTTCAAACGAAATGATTATGAGAGTGCAAATAGCAGAATTTTTCCAGCATTGCATTTTATTTTCAGATACCAAATAACGGTTTGTATGTCCTCTGTCAGGTTGCCATTGTAGTATTCAAAGAAACGTACTCAGATTCCAGGCGCTTCATTAACTTGTTTCATGCTGTAATGTAATGAGGAATCCCGAAATATCTACTTGTCCTCGTCTCCATCAGTGTCGCTCATTATCTAAATGACCATTGTTCGGTTACAACCACCAGATTAAGCTTAAATAATTTTTAAGAGTCAAGATTTATACTTGCAACTTAGATCATCCTGAAGGTAATCCGTCTGAAGTAGTTGGCTGTTCTTTCCAGAATCGGGGCAGTCCGACCGGCGTAAGAATATACGGCACCAAAAGTTGACCGTCCCTATTGGGTTAGGACGTTTTTGGGTACTTTTGCGAAACTATGGAGCACTTTGAAGTACATATATGATCATTCATTTTTTGGAGAATGAACTTCCACAATGGAATCCCATTGTGGTGGTAAGATTCCGCTACCTCCCAGTGGCTGAAGCAAGACAGGCACCGAATTACATCCAACCGCGACCCATGTAAGACGTACCCGGACTTGTACCATTCTGTCTCTTTTCTCCCACCTGCTGGCCTTTTATGACAGTGTTGACCCACGTCACCAAAGCAGGGTCCTCTCTGTTTGAGGAAGTCGGTGTCCGCAGATGACGGCTCCAACTTCGATTACTTGAGATGACTTACTGTACAGAATTGAATGGTTAAGTGACGTCGACTTTGGTCAGTATGAGATATCGCCCACTGCTGAGACAGATCTCCTGCTCTCGGTTACACGTAGACTACTGTCACATGCGTCTTGTTTTAGGAAGTTTGAACAAATAGGCCAATAAGCCAATCCGAAAAATCTGAACCTGAACAAGCTCAGCTTTTTCTCTAAACTTATACCCACGTTTGTTGCTCCCGTTACCGGTTACCTCCCGCACATGCACAGCAAGTATACCCAGTTGCTCCCGTTACCGGTTACCTCCCGCACATGCACAGCAAGGATATCTCCACTTTCACCGTCTATCAAGGCAAAACACGACCAACGTAACAAACAATACTACAACCACACAGCATCTTACGAAACAGAAGCCTGACACATGTCTCCACCCTAGTCTTTGGGCTTAGATGCTGGATTCTGGATGGTCAGTAAGCTCAAGCATGATGGGACGGATGCAATAAAGAGTGTGCGGAAGCTTGGAGGTGGTGGAAAGCAAGGCAAACAGCATAACGAGAGTGGTAAAATGGCAACAAGCATTCCATAGGGCGCTCCCGCTATGCAAACAGCCAGATGACGGCTCCATCTCTGGTATAAATCTCCGTCTGCCACTTTTTTTGCATACCAATGGTATAACGGTCGGACTGTATACATTAGACCAACAAAGCACGTGAAAATTGGCATTGTTGATTTATGAATGTCAGTCTCGGATGTTGTATAACCCTGGCCACCAGTTCCAAGTGTTGTTTAATGAAAGGTAGATGCTCCACAAAATCGAACAGAGATCTTTAAGCTGACGTTCAACGTATAGTACAGTCTTCTATGACTTACCAGCACTGTTTACAATCCAGGATGGGCAAAAAACCCTTGATTGTTCAATGATCTGGTTTCTGCTGCTTGACCTTGATCCACCTAATGGAGACTAATCAGACGAATGATTTTCCACTCCTCCAAAAACACAGGACTGCCGAAAGTCGATGATTCCAACCATGGTTTATCAAGGATATATCTGTTTTAAGTGGCACTCCTAGGAAACAGGAAGCTCTCGGTCATTATTCCAGGTTTTGTCTGGTATTCCTAGAAAAAGATAAATTACTCTTGTGGATTTGCGTTCAGAGGACATGAGTTGAAGGACCCTCGCCCCCAATCATGTGCGACTCTTAATTTGATACTGGTCTCCGCCCTTGCTGAGTCATGTAAAGGCATGCAAGACAGTTTGGTTGTTCACTGGTTAAGAAAGTGCCAAAGTTTGAAACGACCCTCCGGTTTTCATAGAACACCAGATTTTCTATTGGAGAGAACCAATCTAACCATTTTCATAAATTGTTTTCTCACCGGATGAAAGAGTCCACCAGAATTATGTGTAAAGTTTTCCCACAAGGATTTCAGGAATTATAGTATTTGCGATAATTCCCATCAGCTTAACAGAAGATTTTCGCTTCTGGTGTACCTAACGGGTTGGTTAGAATACTCTAGGGATGGTGCTTGCTTAGATCTCATCACAAACAGCAGTTTGCGTAGAATTTTACGTGCTATACGGAAAGGAATACTTTTTGAGGCCCTTAACTACTTCAAAAGAAATTTGGCTTACTACTGGCTTGATACTGCCGCTTGGTGAAAACCGATTTGACAGTGCCGATCGACTGTTTGTCCAAGTTGGAGGTGAATTTTGTAGATGAAGAATGCCCGAACTTTCGAAAACGGGTGGTAGGTCATTAAAAACCTATTTTTACGTTAATGCAACCGGACTGCACGTGCATAGCCCTTTTGAAATGGTAGATCTTTGGAATCCCAGTGGTTGCTATTCCTGTTTGGTGGAGAACTCAAAACGACTGTTCCATATGAACATTTGATGTTGATCCTCAAAAAAAATAAACCATTCACTTTTCTGGTGGCGTGTGTCTATTATTAGATATGGTCTGTTTGAATACGAATAGGTACTAACGGTTACGAATGCTACCAGCTTACCCACTTGCTTGATCTCGGCCATAAATATAATATAACTGAAGCACGACAATAAAACATCAATCTGTTATACAGTGGAAACTACTGAGGGAAGAAGGCGATTGATCAACCGTTCTTGAACACCAACGTACTGAACGTGACCGATAGTAATCCGTCTTCCCATATGCGCAGCTTAGTACATATTGCTGGTGCTAAACTAATGTAAGCATAGAACGCCGGATTTCACGCTCCAAACCTGTTCCTTTACGTAAATATTTTTCTGGCAGCGAGTGACAAAATATTCTACTTTGTGTGCCCGTTCCGCTGACGGGTCTTCACAACATGGTCTGCACAAATCCAACCGATTCGTTCATGCTTCTTTTCCTCTCATAGGTTATCAGCTATTCATCTACAATGTTCAAAACAGCCGGACTTTCCGATCAATACAATGAATACTGCGTTCTAGCGATTGGTGTTTTCAACTTCTTGGTGACGTCTATATCCGTCGTTCTGCTTGAGAAAAAAGGGCGACGAACACTACTACTTTGGCCCACGTTGGTGGTCGCCGTCTCGCTTGCATTACTCACAATCACTGTCAACTTGGTCACACATCTTAAGGAGGGTGTTATTGCTCAGGCGATGGGAGTCCTATCAGCCGTTCTGCTCTTCTGCTATGTGAGTGGATTCGCGCTCGGTCTAGGGCCTGTTCCGGCACTCATCGTTGCTGAAATATTCCGCCAAGGTCCCCGGGCTGCCGCCTATTCACTTAGTCAAACTGTGCAATGGCTTTCGAATCTACTCGTTATCTGCAGTTATCCAAGCATTAACGTGAGTTTTCGAATGAGGCAAGTTTCCTCGTCTACTGAGTTTATGAAAGCAAGTAAGTCATCAATGTTCACTCTCTGAAGCTGAATATCGCGATCACTGTATCGTTAGTTTACGGTCAATTTTGACTTTATTGATAACTTTCACTCAAATAAGTTGATTCACTTCCATACAACCGAGAAAAATGAGAGACCCCTGGGTAGGTGTGAATTGCACACAACACTACTGCGTTTGAAAAAAATCAATGAGCGAAATACACACATTTGCACACAAATTTCGTTTTGCAAGAGACTCATCTTGAACCCAGCTAAATCTCTCGTTGGTGATGTTTCCAGTGAGTCCTATTAAATATGCCGATCTTTCGGACCATTTTCGTGCTTTGGAAATGAAAGCGCACATATTTTTCGTCCTTACGTGTTTTAGGAAGTTTCGAAGCGATTCAAATGGTGATGTTTCGAATATATGCGGAAACTTATTCCTCGCTCCGCTTCATATATATATATATATATATATATATATATATATATATATATATATATATATATATATATATATATATATATATATATATATATATATATATATATATATATATATATATATATATATATATATATATATATATATATATATATATATATATATATATATATATATATATATATATATATATATATATATATATATATATATATATATATATATATATATATATATATATATATATATATATATATATATATATATATATATATATATATATATATATATATATATATATATATATATATATATATATATATATATATATATATATATATATATATATATATATATATATATATATATATATATATATATATATATATATATATATATATATATATATATATATATATATATATATATATATATATATATATATATATATATATATATATATATATATATATATATATATATATATATATATATATTGTAGCAGCAGTACTGCAATCTATGATGCAGTTTCGTGACTTGAACTCCAACCTTCTGGAGATTGCCGAATACCTGCTCGAAGAACCACATGTACCACATTACCACATGTTCTTCCAAGCGATGTGATAGAAGTCAACCTGCTCTTCAATAAAACGTAACTTCAGGAGAGCCAATAGATTACGTGGGTGACGAAAAAGCTTGCGAATGATTTCTTTGTATTCTTTGTTTCTTTCTCTCTTTGGAGGTTAGTATACACACGAAGGGTGCTTACGATATCCACAACTTACAGGGCGGTTCTATGGAGACAGCATTTTGTGTTTGCAAACGCAGTACGATCTGTACTGCCACTGTCGCCATAAATTCTATCCTGACGTTGTTTATCCCAAAAACTACGTATAACATATCTGGATATTCACTGCTGCAATAATTCAATTGATTCAACTGACGGTGTTCAGTATATCCAGTATATCAGTGGAATCACTTCCATGCATCTTTTTATTACAAAAATTTCTGAAGGAGTTTTCATTCCTCCAAGGCCTACATTTGGCGGCCACGATGTGCGGTCGTAAACATTTGCAGTGCTTATCACCAGGGTCCTAAGTTTTGTGATTTTTTTTTAATTTTCAATGTTTTTAAAAACCATATTTCCGACCTTCCAATCCATTTAAAATACCTTGACATGTCAACATCCATTTCTAGTTTAGTGGTGGAGAACGATGACACACAGATTAAACTAAAAAAAACTCATCATTCCGGCCTAAACACACCAAATTTGCGATTTTAGTGATGCTTCCGACGTGTTTCACTAAAACTCCTAGACTGTTCCCTCGGGCACTGTGACTCAACTGAAAATCTGCAACTCTCTTATTGTATAATTTTTACAAGATCTCGTTTAAAACATCCACTCCATGCTCTGCCTCAACTGGTTGAACAGGTTGTGAGTTGTGCAAAATGGTTTATTGCTTCTATCTGAATTTCTGAATGTACCTATGGGAAAAGACCATACCACCGCGAAATTGATCAGTGGACTTGTGGGCGATTGGTTCCAGCCTGTTCGCCACGGCCCATCCCCGTGCGCGATCAGATGCTCTTACATTCGTGCTGCAAAGGCGAGCACCTCGATCAACCGATACGATGATTCGCTCGTCTGCCCACCTGGCTTACTGTGGTAGGTCGTCGACAATGTGGTATAAAAAGTGTCAGATGCGTTTGATCTGAAGGCAATTTTGCATGCACGTAGCTTAGTGTGAGATGCCAAGACCCAGTAACTGTTTAAAAAAGCTGATGATCTCCAGGCTTCAGTTAATCAATAGGTGTGTACCATCAGCAGGTCAGGGAGCCTAACAAAACGCAGTTCTTTAGGCAGCCCTAACGGTGGGTTTGTGCACTTGAATGAAGGGGATCCGCGCAAAACAGTCGGCCAGATATCCGTGATAAACCTTTCTGAAATCTGTCCTGAGTTGAAAAACGTCAATAGGATGTGCGCTCCGTTGGACACATCCCAACTGTTTATTGAGGACAGCATTCTACACAGTGTGATACATTTTGGTACACTTATGATTTGTGACCATCGTTAGGTGAATCAATGACATTCAACAGACTAAATTATGCACGTGGACTCTGCAGGAACCCTCACTGCGTGCGTTTTTTCTGAAGTCAAGATTTGATCGCACAAATGTTGCACAACCTGCTGACAAGGCAACGGTTTTTCCTCATCAGAAAACATCTTCGGTTCGGTGGGGCGAGTTCACATTTAGGTTGCAAATTGGTGGATCTGTACGTGCAGTATTGGCGTTTTTCACTGCTAAATAAGGGGCTGCTTATCTGCCTGATTTATGTTTAATTGTCGACAAACAACTCATACCCTAGAAATCGCGCTGTTGATTCATTCTCTTTATGCCAAATAAATCGGATAATTCCGGTGTTGCACATTTACGGATGCTGATAGACACAAGCTGAAAAAGTGCATAATATGCTGTCGTACGTCGGTTCCTGTGAAGAAATTAATATGGTCGCCTTTCTTTGTTAGAGCATGCTGTATAAAGGTTGACGGCTGGTTGTCTAAATAAAGATTCTATTGTCACCACAGATAACAGTGGCGTCTATCTCGGAAAATGAGACAGACTGTTGAGCACGGAAACCGCACATAAACCCCGCGAAATTACGCAAAGAAACTCAAAAGGCACGAGAGCATCTTGTTATGAAACCCCGCTGACAAACAATTGTTGATGCGCTATTAAACCAGGAACAAATATGCCGAATTGTTTTTGCCCCTGCAAGCGGACAGTACAAAACAGATCACGATAAAATATGATGCTGATATTTTCGACTGTATCCTGAGGATTCGCTCTCCGTTTTGTGCGCCGCCGTTAGTGGCCTCTGCTGGTGTGGTAAAAGGTGCCCCATGTTCAGCGCTTTGATACGTTATCGACGCGCAAATGGCGATGACAACAGCCGTAGACAGTTCACAATGCATTTTATCAAGAAGTTCACACCTGTACAGGTGAAGATTTAATGGACCAGTATGTGCTTCAAACATGACGGAGGAAGTACATGAAAAAGGTAGAAGCAATACGTACGATTCCTGCAAAACTTTCATTTGTTGGACTCGCTGTTTGAAAAAGGTTCGAAAGGGTTCGAAAATCTCTGCGTATCGATTGTTTTGAAGTCTCAGAGTGCCTTCATTAGCTTTGACGTACCAACAGCTATCCACACTCTTTTGACATTCGGTGGTCATTGGGACAGGTTTATCGGGACAACCAACTGAATTAAACTGTACTGTTTAACACCCCATGATGATTGATGTCTGCGTTCGGTGCTTCAGAACAGTTTTCACTATTTTCAAGTAGGTGGACATAATGGGTCTCTAGAACTAGTCCATTCACGTTCATTTTACGCACTGCTTGATCAAGTTGTATTGTGGTCCAGTTGGAGGTGCTTTCACTCCTAACACTTCTTGTGCAGACCTTGCTTCTGATGACATATGCAGGAGGACGATCGCGATACAAATTGATGTGCTTCTAATTCGTGAAGCAAACTCATTTCCACAAGTGAACATTTTGGGTCCAGGCAGAACTGAGACAAAAGTCCAAGTAGACTGAAGGGAAGCCATGTGACTGAGCCTACCTGATGAGTCTGAAGAAAGGCAAAATCAGCCGTGAACTGTCGAAGAGATTTCAACAACCTTATGCGTGGTTTTCCCTAAAAACAAATGCTACTAATTGTGTTTAACGGGAGATTCAGCTTAATGTACTGCATAGAGGTTGCCTCATCTTTTGTCTGATACGATTTTCGAGATATCACAGTATATTTTCATAAGGAAAACTACTACGAGAGATTCAATTTAGTCTCCCATGAAAAACCAATTGATTCGCAAATGAGTGTTTGTCGAAAGCTGACGAATTTGGGTCCAAGTAGAACATATGGTTGAGGGGAACTTGGGGACTGAACCTATCTGATGAGCCCGAAGAAGGGAGAAACCGGTCTTAGGATGTCTTGTGAGTAGTTTCCTGTAGTTTCCTGAAAATACTTTTAAGGTTTTTTCTAAACAATCCAGATAGTGCGCTCCAAAAACCTCACCCAAACCCAGGGTTTCATTCAGTGGTTTGAGGACATTGAGAAAAATATGTCTATAATCAGTTTAGACTTTTCATGCATTCTTAGGAAGTTTACTTTGTTTCGGGTATCTTGGTGCGTTCATAAGTTATGCGCGATTTCGGCCAGATTTGCTGGATAGGAATAGGTGGTCTAGTTTCAACCCATCAGTCCTGTTTTTGGCCTCGAATCAGTCGGTCCTTGTGCCAGGCCATTGGCTCGGTTCAACGCAGCTGGCACCGACGTGATGGCAGAACAATCGATCACACTTTCAATGTTACGCTGCCAGACCACTTCCGTCCATAATCCAGGACATCCCGGCAGCCAGTCAAAATTGCGACTTAGATGCATCGGCAGGATGACGCATACGTTGAGAGTTAGATTTTTTCTCCTGTGATGCCATTTGAGATGCACGCTGATATGGCCGGGGG